TAAAGGTCTACAGGATCAATTGTGCTGAAGAAATTATTCCGCTCAATTCATCTTTGATTCTCATGTCCTGAATCTAGGAAACACCAGTCTTCATATCGACAACTTCGCTGAATACATTAGAAGTGATGACTCTGCTGATGATCGTCTCTTCAATGTCATAGGAATTCGGAACTATTCGGAAATGTATAGTTGGCATCTCGCTGAAGCAGTCAGACGCCTTAAAGCTTCGGCGGCGTATTTACAAACGAAGACTTCTTATTTTACGAACCCTCGATACCTTTTTTCCTGAGAAAAATAAGCTCCCAATTTCTCGGGGAAAATGAGCTAAAACATCTTAATAACAACTGTCTTCGAGGTTTAAGACGGTTAGATTTGCCAAGTTTAAACGACAATTCACGACAGGTGGACTGGGAGCCGATGTGGTGAACCTTCAAGGTACCTTGATATGCGACAGTCTCCAGGAATGCTCCTTTTCCATAAACTTGCTTTCACCCCAACAACACAATTTCGGATGGATCATTCTTGTATAACCAGCCTGCTAACCGCTATGAACGGACGAACAAATATTTTTGATAGCTAAGAGGATGTTGATGTATTATACTTTGACCTCTAAAGAGCTTTTGACAAAATCAGTCATATATATTTCATAAATAAGCACAAAAGGTTAGATATTATTTGGCCGTTAGTTGATTAGCTTGTTTTTATACCCAAATTTTTGATGTTTTGGGGTCATGGCGAAATTCCTTTTTGCTTAGACGACAGAATGTCATAGTAGAGTGCCTCGAAGCTTATTATTACGGCCTCCACCTTTACAATTCATGCAAACTGCGCTCCTCGACAAGTGCTATCTGATTTATTAGTTTTTGGTGATGATATGAAGCTCTGGAGAGAATTTTACAACCAAGTGGGTAATTTGACGCTTCAGTAGGATCGGAATAAACTTCAGTGTTGGAAGGAAATCAGCGGACTTGCCTTCAACACTTCAAAGTGTAACGTGGTCCATCTGAGACATGTGGAAGACTATAAATGCAGCACAGAACGTTTTTCAGTTGAAAACGATCCTGATGTGTTGGCACATTACAATCTGAAGTCCTACGCTAACTGTGAAAAAATGCTTTTTCAGCAAAACTTGCACTGGTAATGTTGAAACGCATTTTCGGCAGGTTAGACGGATCAATTTTAGACAAAATCTTCAACAGTTTTATTTGTCTTCATTTAGAGTACGTAAATATAGTATTTCCCCTCTCACCTTAAAAGGAAAAAAGCACGCTGGAACGTATGCAATAGCGATTCACGAAATCAGTTCGGAGACTCATATTTAAACCTTATGAGGAAAGCCTCAGATTAATGAATCCTTGCCCGATAAAGAGCAGACGTCTAAGAGGTTATCGCCCGATGACTTAAAGCATCCAACAAACTCCTGGCCATCCCCGCATATATTAATTAAGCTCAGTCCAAAGACAAACATTAGGGTAAATCCCATAAATTAGAGACATAACATGGAAAAATGGACAACAGGAACATATTTTTGTTTTTAAGAGTAATCAAATGCTGTGGTTCGAAGCCGATTGAGGTGGGTCAAGCAACATTTCAAGAGACCTTGAAGATTAAACTTCACAAGGGCTAAGGACATTATCGTACTATAGTCTCAGATTTGCATTCAAATTCATTTTGTATGAATGGAGTACCTATACCATGTGCCTTTTCTTTATTAGTAAGCTTCTGTGTCTAGCATCCTCTTAAAGAGTCAACTGAAGGTGAGGACACCACGGTTTTGAGTAACAAGTTCAAGGGATTGAAGATGGTGTGAAAACACGTATGCCACTGGTATTATTACAGTTCTTGGCCTTTCTACTCTCGTATTATGTCCCCTGAAATATCTTGATCTGATAGGAAGAAAAAGAGAGGAAGAATTACGTCGAAAATCATTTTTTAGTGCTTTTTACGTCAAAGTCATATCACCTTCTAATCTGTGAGATAAGCATTTAGCGTCTTTTGAACAAGCTGGTCGGAGCATCTTAGTCCGCCCAATGTGCACATGAGTCTGCATCTCCTGTTATTTCTCTCCAGCGTATAGTAGGATTGGGGTATCAACTATACTTGTGTCTTAATTTACATTCATTATAAACAACTGAGGACCGAGGACGGCTTGCGGTACTCTATTAAGTACTGGTTCCCAGGCTGAACACTTTGAATATCTCTTAATTTCCTTCTGCGACCTACCAAGAAATCTTTTAACCAATTTGGAAGAGGTCCGGCAATATCTAGATTTTCCAGCTTCAAATGTAATCTTTTAGCACCTCATCAAATACTTTGCTGAAGTTCATGTGGACAGCATCCACTGATTTTCCATTGTCCCAACCCTTGATCTATTGCTCCCTTGCTATAAGGGGATTTGTAGCGTAATATAGACCTTTTCTGAGACGATATCGTTCACTGCTTAACAAGTTGTTGGTTTCCACTAATGTCATTATGGTCTTTTTGATTATTCTTTCCAGTACTTTAACCACGACACTAGTGAGAATGAGAGATCTGTAGTTTGATGGAAGTTGTCTTGATCCTGTTTTATGTATTGGAATGACAGTTACATCCTACAGCCCGTAGTTAACTCGCCTTGGTTAAGTGACATGGAATATGATAGTCGATGAGGCAGCAATGTATTGTGCGAATTGTCTCAAGATTTTAAGGTGTAGTTCATCCGGTTCAGTCGAGTTTTTCGTGTCTGAAGTGTTAAGGGTCTTAAGTTCAGCGTCTCAATGGAAGTACACACTGAGCGAACGATTTTTCGACGTTGTATTTGGGTCTATTTCTTTGTCTAGAAGGGGCTCCTGAGTGAAAACTGACCCGAAATAGTTTTCCATACCCTCTACTTTTCTCTGATCATCCTTCATCATTTGAGATCCACTTCCTTCCGTAATTAGGTTGGGAATCCAGTGTTGCGTCTTTGCTCTGAAATTTATGTACGAGAATAGTTTCTTAGGCTGTTTGATTACAGGTTAGGCCAAATTTTTCATATTTTCGCTGAGCCATCCGTATTGTTATTATGTACTTATTTCGCGCCGACCAGTAGAGTTCCATCGTACTTGCTGTGCCAAGGCTGATGGCGATGTTTCAACATTCCTTCTCTTGTCTTAGTAAACGTCGAATATCCCTGTTTATCCAGGGATGGGCGTGCTTCTTTGGGACTGTCCAGGGTGTATATGGTCGAGTTACCTGATTGCACAACTGCCTGAAATGAGTCCATGCCTCTTCTTCTGATGTCTCCGAGTCAATTATCCAGTTTTCAGCCGAGACTACAGAGTTGATCATACACATGTCGGCGCAACTGCTTCACGGGCCATCGTAGCCATGAACTTGAATAATGTGACTGCATGACCACTTCTTCCTAAAGATGGAAGTCAGGTTGTGTGCCACTGTCTCGACAGCTCGTGTGGTTAAGGTACTTTTCGTGTACAGGATAGCCCCACCACCCTTACGGTTTAGTCTGTCATCTCTACTAGGTAAGAAACCAAGCAACTGAATTTCACTATCATGCACTTCCGACGCTAAACATGTTTCTGAAATGGAGAGACATCAGGGTTTTTTGTGCCCACCACTGTTTCGAGCTCCGCCATTTTATTTTGTAGGCTGCGAACATTTGGATAGCACGCCTTTGATTTTGTGAAGACCTTCCTCTAACCACCCAAAGTGGTTTGGAGATTTTCTTGCTACGAACTTTTACAATATGATGACCTTTAAGTATAAAGGTTTTCACCGTTCTGGTGGCGCTCATTTATTTCCACCTCTGTCGATCGTCTCTTAATACGATTAACTGGGTTGAGATATTCACGGACTTATATGCCAGATCCAGTCAGTTTGTGTGAGTTTTGCAGTATTAGGTTTCTTTCTTCGGCAGAAGGAAAGGTAACTTTTAAGAGGTGGCTTTTCTGCGTATCTTCAGAATTCAATTTTTGTCCTATTCTATAAATCTTATAGATGCTGACTCCTGCGACTGCTTTGGAAGTAGCTTACCCACTGAGCAATTACTGAAGCTTAGATTGTGTTCATATCTAGCTTGTGGTTTCGCTTCGGAAGATCCCCTTAATTTATGAACAATGACTGACCTGTCGGCGAGGTCGTCTTACCAAGCTGTGGAGTTGCTTAAAATATTTTATCCGTGCAGTCCGATTTGGTGTCAGATACGGAGGTCTTCATCTGTTTCCTTACTTTCCTTTTCCTAGGTGTAACTGTAGTCCAATGATTGACGTCATTATATCTCGTGATCACATCATCCACACCACTCAGGCTTTGCTCCTCCATAGTCCGTTTTGCGTTGATGTGTGAATCCGGTGCTGAAACTGTCAAACCACATATCTTAGAGCCCCATGTTATTTGTTTATTCTCAAGTGCCTTTTCTCTTGTGACCAGGAGTACATCTGTATGTTTGTTATCCGCCACGATATTGGGGTCCACCTTGATGGTTCCACTCAAATCCAGGGCTGGACTAACGATAACGCTCTCTATCCTTCCTTGAGAACTGAAAGCTGCTCCTGCGCTGCTGGCTGTTTAGCTGAGGGTATCTTTCTAGCTATGTTCAGCCCTGCTAAATCGCCTCAAGAATAGCCGAGACTTAGTAGATCAGCACGCTTTGTACAGCAAACGTGACGGTGGTGTAGTGTGGCGTCGAGTCGCGGTTGACTATGACCACCACTACAGGAAGACTACGTGCAGGTTGACCGACAACATCCCCCATAGGTCAAATATCAGGCAGTTGATGGCTGTAGTCGATATGCATTGGTTGGCGATCTCGTGGTATCGAAAGAATACCGAGATCGTGCCAAAGGAGTAGAGGTGTGGTTACTGAGCGTAACCGAATCCGTGCAAGGTCACAATCAAAGAAAGGAATAATGTATGCATTTTGGTGCAGCTAAACAAACAAGTACGTCAAAACAACCCCTGGTACAGTTGGTTATAATAATTGTTTCCATTACAACAATCGCGTTCTATTGGTAAATGCAGGTCACAACAGTGGTTTGCAGCACTTTTTATATACAGCCGGTGTGAGTCCGTTGCACACGTTGTGATAGCACCTGTTGTAATTGTCACATTGTATTCCATCCTCGACCGTGAAGACACACACGGGTCTATCACTGCGACGTTTTTCACTGCTACTAATTACGGAAGCTCGTTAAGCGGAAGCTTTTTCTATTCTGTCCAGAACCATTTGATACATGTGAATCATTTGGCCCGCGGTGGTCATTAGTCGCGGTACATGATGCCTTCTACAGTTGCTATCTCTCCGTCAGATACTGAAGGGGATGGGCGTTGGATGAGTCAAGTATTACCGTAGCCCTTACTTCTCACGTTTAGCAGCATACAAGGTTCGTTTGCCAGGCCCGAAAGAAAGAACCAGATGTTGTATTACTTGGTGACTCCATATTCGTTTACATGCAGTTTACACAGGCAAGCTTTAATTTTAATTTGATTCATTTCCGTAGACGTACAAAAAGCACATAGAGCCCTTACACTGTGTAAATTTTAGTATTGCTAATGACCAGACACAAAATGTATTGTGGAGAATCGAAAATGGAGAACTGGACGGCTTTTCGCCTAAGGTAGGGATTGTATATACGAGGACCTGAACTCTAAGGTGGTCGTAATCATGATTGGTAGTCACAACGTTGGTGATTCGGAAGAAGAGGTTGTTAAAGGGATCCTCTCCGTTGTTGAAAAGACAAAATCTAAGCAACCTCGCGCTTCCTTAATAGTTATGGTCAGTACTCTGTTTTTCAGAATTTTGTGTCTTCAGTATCTTGGTAAAATGTCCTTTTTTGCTTTCAATATTTTTCCAGTAAAATTCACTGCTAGACAATAATGTACATATACACCGTAATACAAAGTGCTCTGTTTTTTGTCTTAAAAAATTGTGCTATTTCTTTTCTGTTTTTTTGCCATGTGTTTTTAAATCCTGAACAGGGACACAATAAGAATTGTTTATATATCAGGTGACTTTATTCGATTCAATGTTATCCACCATACCTTTAGTCCCAGACGGGAGAAATGTTAATATACTCCTTTGATACATTAGCAATGACTTATATTTTCTCAGTAGTTGTTGACGAGTATTTTCGGTTCTATTTAAACAGATGTTTTCTTTTATGAATAACGTCATCCAGCTAGTGTGTCCTGGTATTACAGACTAAGCGAATAGCACTGGTATGTTTGCAGCCTTATGATTTTCAACAGCTCTGTGCTTAACTACTATTACTCTCGAATGTTTGCTTACATTCACCAGCAACACCATGAAGTTAATATGATGGCTGCACGGTGTTTTTAAACATAAAGGTGGTATCGTTTTTAAGTACTTATTCCTGTTGCTTAGACCCCACTAACGCATGAAGTTCCAGCGACTGCTTGAAGAATACTATCTTCTAACCATTGTTGACCGTATCAACATATGAACCTTAGATGATTTAGTATCAATAATTAAGTTTATGGATATTAACCGGTCAGTGAAAAAACTCCATCTTCATTCTTAGTGAGACAAATGACAGTTTATAATTACAATATACTTGGTACTTACAGATGTTGCATAGCCTTTTAATAAGCAGGCTTCCAAACGTTACTTTCTTTTTTCACATAGTCTTTGATGTATTGATCAATCGTTTTGTTCTGTTATCTTCACTATTACCATATTGTCTTCCACTAAATAGTCTGATCGTATTACGAAATTCGATTTGTTTCTTCTCAAGGGTCTTTTACCATGTGGTCGAACTCCAAACAAAAGACGCACGAAGCATGAACAGATTAATAAACTCCTTACTGAAGCTTTCATCTGTCGACCTGATGTCACATACTTGAATCCTGACTGGGATAATTTTATCCAACAAGATGGAACTATTTCACATCGTGATATGTTCGATTATATGCATCCTACCGAAAATGGTTATGAAAAACTCTGCGACCCTTTACTAGAAGAACTTCAAAATTCTCTGCACACATTCTTAAAAACCAACGCACCCAATAGTTTTGTTGAAGATTCATAATTTCCAGGCTCCAGACATTTTGGTATTCTGTACAATATTATTCCTATTTCTGAGTCAATTCTTTGTTTATTTAATTTTGGATATAAATTACTGTGCTTCATGGCTTTTCATTCATAAACTTATTGGTGCATTATTATTTGGGTTTCATCACTTTCTTATTCCCTTACTTGACTTAATTCATCGTTCACTTATAATAAAATTTTAATACAAGGTTTCCATAGCTCTATTTTCACTTGGTTACTTTGTTTATTGAATTTATTTTGTTATTCTGACGACTACCTTGTGTCATTTGATTCTCTTTACCACTTGCTGCGGGCTTTATCTAACTTATCAGTGACTAGTTTATTTATTTCGTACTTCAGACATTCTTTCATATACTTCAGTTGTATCCTTATGGATCAACTCTTCAGTGATCAATTGTTTGGTGGAAATTATACCTAATACGGAATAAACTGTTTAGTTTTATATTTCAAACAAATTTTCTTATTGATAATTTTGACTAAAGCAATAAAAATGGACATAGCAGAACTTTAAGCTATCTTCATATGTTAAATAATGTGGATATTTGTAAGTCAACTATTCTTAAATAAAAACTAAGAGCATACGGACATAATTGTTTAGAAATAAAATGTTAGTATTGATGTTATGAATTCCTTATAAAGTAAAATCAAGGTGTGTAACAGTAGAGGTCATATAAAAAGTGCGAACTAATCGGTGTCATAGGAAGAAAAATTGCTTAACAAACATTTGTGAATGATATCACTATGGCAAAGCAAGATTGACAACTGAGTCTTTTTGGGTACATAAATTTGGTTTAAGTCCTTATATAGCACTTGATTCGGCTAAACATGGTAAGTTCAACTTTGCCCAACAATTATCTTGGAAAGTTTGGGTAGTCAACACAGTGTCTACTGTCAAGTAAGTGGTATTCAATTAAACTGATGAGAATGTTCAGTTCTTTTAGCCTAAGCTTTTCTGGAATGCTCTCAGAGATGTAGACACGAAACCTTTTCCTGTTCTTCTGATGTTCTTTGACATGTACATGTAGATTGGTAGTCCGGTTTTATATCCAGGTATAACAGTAATTAACCTTAGTCCGGGTTTTTAATATTCAGTTCGTAGCTGTTAAATTATCACGATGTAGAGCATTGTACCATTAGAGTCACAAATAGCTTATAAACTAAATCGAACCCGGATACACTGTTTGGTCGTTTTTTTCGACATAGATTAGTTAAGATAAAAGGTCAGACAAAAATCAGTTCTTGGACGGATACTATACATCAGACAGCTTGTTTGGTAAAGCAAATAATAATAATTGGTTCTGGTGTAATAGACTGATGATGTAGCCATACATGGTGTTTATTATTTTGAGGCGTTGATAAACACTTTCATTGTATATATCTCAACTGGTTTTAGCTGCCTATCTGCATTTGGATAGCATTCTGTTGTTTTATTTCTTGTGCAGCTTAGTACTGACCAGTATTCTTCGGGCTGTTTAGTATGCAACAGTTTTTAAATAATAACCTCCGCTCAGAACAATAATTACATCCTACTTAAAAGATGCCAATCACTCCCACATATGTTAGAATTTTGTCCAAGGCAGTCAATCCACGAGGCACTTCTCTGTGTGATACGTGACTGGTTTGGCAACTTTTAGTCGTCGACTAGTTAAAATACTTCTGTATTTGGTTGTGGTTGGAGAAGAAGAAAAACGTCAATTTAATGCCACTCAAACAAAATTACTTCACACTAAGTATCTTATCAGCTGGCGAAAGAAAGTACCAACCAATCTGTTAGCAATATTTGATTTATGTTTGATAAACGAAAAAGTAGGTATGTGTCAAAATTGTCAGCTGGAATGGCTAGTAGAAAGTCATATCACATTGTAGATCAGATCGTAAGTTTATAGATTGTATGAATTGTACTGTCTCACATTCATATTTGGAGCCCAAATTTTTACGAGTTCATTCTAAAAACATATAAGATGTTCAGCAGGAAAAAGCCACCTAAAAACCGACTCAATCACAATCCCCGATATATGGTATAGCGATCGAGATTGAACTTCTGTTGGTCGTGGAACTGAGTAACCCAAAACTAAACTCATTACCTACAGCTTCGCAGTGTAATCTAGACTGATTTATCAATTTCTGTGCTGTAAAATGGCATAAGGCAGGACTAGTGGTTCGATTTGTCTTACCGTGTCAATCGTCTGTGGGTAAAATCTCAACCAATACTAATCTTATTCATGGGTTAGTTTTGTCTCTATGATCTGACACACCCTCGAAAAGTTACCATGAATTGAGACGAAACAATTTATGTTCTGTACATAATTAAATAGCTAAACAGGGTGGAAAATCAATGATTTCATAGTAGGACATTTGTATTCAGTTGATCGTAACGGTCATTTACTTGATCTAAACAAATGATATGTGTCAAAAGTCATCAGATACGAAAGCACAGAGTCCAACTCTTCAAACTCAGTTGTCTGAGATACCTGTATGTAGTTACGACGACGAGATTGGATAAGTAAAGTTGAATGAAGATAGGAATAATGACAGTTGTTAATTTATTGAAGTAGAAAAAAAACTTGAGACGATAAGTTTAACACTTGTCGTGGAGTCTGCCCGTATAATTGATTTAAATAGCCCAGAGATTCTTCTAAAAGGCCTTTCGTACGAAGAGAAATTAACAGCCGAAGCCTAAAACACATGGAAAAATCCAAGCAATATTAACAGAAGAGATGAAATAAAATAAGCTGTTTCATGGCAATTAATAATTAATGAGTAAATCTGAACTCTTTATTACATTCTACTTCATTTAATCCATCTCTTATTATGTGAACAACGATTACTTTTATTTGTTCCAATCCGAATATAAGATAAACAATCAGTTTGGTCAACACAATAACGGATATTTGTTTACTTATGTTCATTTTACGGATGTTGCGACATGTTTGTCTTATTTTATCTGTAAAAATTATCTGCTTTCATCAAAAATCCCTAATCAGAGACGACATATAGTGAATGCGTATCTTTCACATCAGATCTACATACAAATCCATACAACTGTTGTTTTAACTCGATTTTTTCCTTGTTTCACAGCAAATGTCTCATAAATATTACAAAAAATCTCACTTTTAACATTGTTAACGTGATTACATTACTTGTTTCGTGTACAGTTAAACGTTGAGTCATGAATATATATTCGATAATTCTGGTGTTTACTTATATTTCCTTGAGAAATTCTAGACCAGATTGCCTGGTGAAACATTGGATTTGCTTAGAGTTTTTAACTGAAGTTTTTACAAATATAGTTTTCCCTCTGTAAGTCTTGTCATTATTATCTTATAATTCGAGGCCTTAGGCAATCTTGTATTTTGTTTTATTTTTCGTAACACCATCCGCGTGCATAAGTATATGTTTTAATAATTTAATATCTACTAATATCGCTCAATAACTTAAATGTAATTCGAAGACATCACTGGTATCAGATCAGCTTTCATCAAGATAGTAAATAACACAGATAATTGATCAGTCAGTTATCGTACCTAAATATAAAGGTTAACATCGCTCATTGAAGACATGTTTATGGTTTTGTTTTCATAAGCAACTGATTGATCACTTATTACTTCTATAGGAAACAATCGGTCACAATCATGTTTTGCTATCACTCTGGTTAGAATTAAAAGAACCACAAATCATGCACAATGGAAATTCCCTCAAATGACCTATGAAATATGTAGAATGAAGAAATAAGCAACCAGTTATAAATTTCCGTTCTTAACTTTGAAAAACTTGCAATTCGGGACAAGGAAACTAGTTGACTATTAACTGAACTTTCACAATTAGGTACTAACATTTTAGAACCAGTCTTGGAAATCTCATCTGTACTAATAACTACAACTATGTTCGATTTCTGTCAATCATTTGCCAGAAATTCTGTTAGCACTGAATGTTATCATACTACTGGTTGAAGAAGATTTTAGCCACATTCTTCTCATTTCGACTTTTAATCATATTGAGTTACGACAGAATCCTTATGCGAATAGGACATGTTTTATTCATAGGAGTAGTTGTTAATTGATTTACTCAGTTGATTTGAAGTAGATTTGCCTCTTAAGTAGATTAGGGACAGGCCATTGATTTTTCTGTCTAACATTTTTATGAAGAACTTAACTTTTAGATGTTTCTTCACTATTTTATATCCTATATAAAGCAAAATTCCTACAATTCTGTGTTTGAAATCGTGGTTGTCGGCATGCCATAAAATGGCGAATCATTTATACTTTTATCCAATTGTCAGCTTCTCCTCGTAAGTCCCTTCTGTTATGACCTTGATGTCTGGCTTTCTATCACGCGACTTATCGACCAGTCAGGATACGACTTATACGATTTCGCACTATGCCAAACCAATGATGTCCAACCGGTATGAGCAGTTTAGCGTCCTGATTGGTCTTATGTCCCCTAGCCCTTCCACTTGAGTCCAGAACACAATACCAGCTTCTGTAATATTAATTGAATCGTTTATTTCAGACATACTCTGTTTATATACTAATCAAACAAACCACATCGTACCATAGAATAGGAAACAACATTTGTACAATATTTGACAAGTGAAATAAATATTGGCCAATAGGAAATGCCCATTTAAAGTCCAAGGACACCATTAGACTTAACATGATAAATATTGGATAATTATACAATAAGAATATTTATAGAATATTAGTCTATTAACAGTCCTCGGAAGTCACCTGTAACTTAATCTTCACTGGGTTATAACACCTTCAAAGACCTTTTGAGTAAACTATCACATATTTGGTGTTGATGCTATTCTCTTCTGACCACACCGATCTTATCTTTTGACTGAATTCGATTTTTGCAAATTTTCTGTGCTAGTTATATCAGTCTCTGTTCCACCGCGGTTCTACATTATTGTCTTTATTGGTTGATGTATCTCTGATTTATGAATAATTACACATTTTTCTTCATCAACAATAAATGTGTTAACTGTTATAAGTGAAAATGTTTTTTTTGAACAAACCACGTAATAATCACTAGGTTGGGACTTTTTGTATAGGTTGTCTCATTTTAATTTCTATATATATTTCAATATGCCTCTGGATTAAAGGCTAATCACTGTTATATTTTAAAATCTGGTCGATCCATGTGGTCTTTCTATATGCTAGTCAGAGATGGGTTTTTAATCCAGTCGGTGGTGACCAACAAATTGTAACACTAAACCTGAAAGGTCTCACTCTAACTTTGAACAGTAAATTTAACATATGATAATGCAATCAGCTATTCAGGTAAGTAATCAATAGTAAAAATTATCCATGAATGTAATAAACGCCGTTGTACCTTATCGTAACTATTACTGATCGAAGTTTGTTGACTACGTTAGATACTCTATGTCGACAGTCAATGAACAAAATCACTGAATCCGAAGAAACACTATACTTTTGGGCACCATCATAGCTAAAACTTCACTTCATTAACCTGGTCATTTATCATGGATTCAGTCCTGCACTACAATTTACAACGATATATAAAGGTGTGACTAGAATGTAGGTTTGTTTGATTACATCTATCATTGAGTATTTATTATGATG